TAACGTATAAGGCTGTTTGATGAATCCGGCCCTTTCTCAACAGAAAATCGAGCATACGGAAAACCAGCTGAGAGTCTATATCAACGTTAAAACAATTAACTTGAGAAAGTGTGACTGTTGTAATAGTATCTGATATTTAAATTGAATATTGTCTTATCCAACTCATTTTTAGATCTAAAACGAGAACTTATGATACTTTTTCAAACAGATTTGGTGGTATCCTATCCGCGTACGGACTGGCACTAGCTGATGTGGTACACGAGGCGCAAGAACCGTGTGCACGTGAATATGATAAAGGTAACAAACGAATGTTCCTGTGATATCATTTAAGTTCGGTAAAAAGTCCAACACTTACGCGTAATGTTTGAGGTGGCAGGCACTAGTTTTTATTCATAGTTGTCTACCCTGAAATTTTGATCAGAATCCTTTATTTATTTTTATTTCTTTAGAGTCGTTTGGATATTTGGATGAAAGAATTGACTTTTTGACGCAGAAGTGTGTCGAGGAACTGAAAAGCCAAGGATTTGAAGAGTAAGTCTAGCTTTCCTGCATTCCTTGCTTCGGTTTATCACGGATAAAACTGTGTTCACTCTTTGGATCACTTTCAATGGATGAGTGCTGGGAAAACGAACTACAATGTCTACCAAACAGGATAGTGTTCAGTAAACACTTCAGGGACCTACCCTCTCCCTGCATTCTTAATAAAAGTTGAGCAGACACTCTTTTACTCTCAGGCTACCTCAACCTGGGCCAACCCCCGTGAAGGCTGTGGAATGTAGAAATTAAGAAGTGGACAAAGGACTTGATATTTTATTTCCTTAACTCTACCCTTTATGCATTAATGCTCTTCAAGGGTTATGAGCTCAGGCAACCAAAGAGTATTTTCGGGATAACTTTGATTGTGATTGTGGTGTAGTGATGTTTGACTGATTTGACTAATTAAATAACATTTCGGTCTATTTGATAACATAATATGAAATTTGCCATCTCTCCTACTCTACGTCCTTACAAGATAATTGGTTATATCAACTAAGTTGAATTAGTAAATAGTCCTTACAAGAGCCTTCGTTCAGTTGTATCGTCGCTGATACCGTTAGTATGGAGAAAGTCGGTTACATGTGGACGTTAGTATTGTTATCACCCGCCGACGCGATCTCCATTTCTCGGCAGTGGGACATCTGGCAAGCAATCTCCATGCTGGGGTTCGAATTCTCATGATCCTAAGTTTTCCTCCGTCTCAAGTTTGTGCCAAATGACTCGAACGTCCTAATGTGACATTTTTTTTTAACTCTGAAATTTTTAAGGAAGCAGATTTCCACAGAAGCATTCCTTCACATGCGGTACAGTGGTACAGACTGTGCTCTTATGTGTTCTGCTGGTCCTCAGAAAGACACAAAGGTAGGGCATTTTTGTTTACCTCAGTTTAAAAGAACAGATTTGCGTCTTTTTGCCAAAGTGTTCAAGTCTTGTCAGATGCGCTGTTCATTGAAAAGGAAAGTCGCTACTAGATGGGAATCAAAAGTGAATAGCAGGAAGAGAAAAAATGTAATTGTCTCCATTTGATGAAGAGAAGGTATTGATTACGCTCTTTTTCTACAATCCTAGGAAGGAGAAACTTGTCGCCATGGTGATTTTGGACAAGCGTTTAACGAACGGTAAAGTATTGTCACTGAGTATTGTTGAGTGTTTTCAGATGCATTTTCCCTTTTATTTAATCGACATTTTGTGTTTCCTTTCTCATTTACTGTAGATACGTTCGAGAATTTGGTTTCACGATACCTAACAGACAGATCCTTATTGATGATATCAGAGTGAGGGGGACTGGACACTCAAAGACCTCCGTTTCACATGAGATACCAAAAGCGAGCACCCCTCCCCTGGTGAAAAAGGTATTCTTAAAAACGTATTTCAGATTCCTGTTTGCACCCAATTCCCATGGACAAGATGCTGAGGGGAAAAATCGCGTTTCCAAATAAATCTAAACAAGATAATTTCAACTTTTTGAATCTATTTTTAAGTAATATTACCCCCCTCCCACCCCACTGGCTGTCAAAAGTTTCCGTGCAAATGAGGACCTTCTCTTGCTGACCAATTTTTGTACTCTTATAACCTGTCTGTTGGATGAGATATTGCAATTTTGGGGAGGGGTTACATGTCAGTAACTGGGATTTGCAGAGGCGGTTAGGTGTAAGCGGTCACCAGGTTGAAATTTCTTTGAAAGAACCATGAAAACACAAGGTCTGCTTTGACTTAAAGAACCTTACACTTTTCTTTCTTCAACAGACAACAAAGTGTTACTTTGAAGATGGTTTTCATGACACGAATGTATACCTCCTCGGAGAGTTGTCCGCCGGTCACACAATAGATGGACCGGCCATTATTGTGGACAAGACCAGGTGACTGATTTTTAAACTTAACCAATCACAAACAAACGCGAGAAGAGTGTTTATAAAGTTGATTTTTGTTTTCCAGTACCGTTCTTGTTGAACCACAATGCAAAGCGTCCATCACTTCATCAGGAGACATCAGGATTGAGGTTTTGTTCGTTTTATTAGTAAATCGGTATATAGTTTGATATAAAGCTTCCCTGAAGATTTTCAACAAAGTTTTGATGTTCTTCTAAGTGACATGTGTGTTGTCAGAACAGAGCAAGGGTTGGGCCAGAAATGAGGGGGGTTTTTAGATTAATACAATGACTTACACTTTCTAGAAATCCTCTGCCTTGCAGCTTTCAAGAACTATTTATTTTTTTCTTCTTGCACGATACTCTGTCTTTACTCCGGAACTGAAACAGAAGTGGTGTAACGCGTGTAACTTTCGAAACTTTACCCCGTTATTCAGTACAAGACACACTGGGTCTAAGAATTACATACAAGCTTAGCTTAAAAAGCAAAACCGAAGTAACAGCCCCATTCCATTAAAATAAAGGAAACTATCATAAAACATACGAGAGCTCAAAAAGGAAAACCGCAGTTGGTCAGAGACTGAAGTGGACAAAAGTTGTAATGGGTGTCTGAATGGTCAAAAGGGTGACGCAAATTCTCGAGACAATAACGCAACGCATTGAACATCTCTCAACGTCATGGCTGCTCTTACTCTTCAGATCGGAGGAAATCAAGGCAAAAAGAGCATCGGAACAGAATTAGATGCGATTCAGGTACTGTTTGAAATATCTTTATGACTAGTTTATATGAGATTAACGATTCTAAGGTTGTTGCATAACAAATATGGACATTCCATTTGCGATGACTACGTTGTGGATTCAAAAGGACGTAAATAGCCACTTGGTCAGATGCCACGATTCTTAACAAGAACTATGTTTAGTTTCCGACGTCGTGTATCAATGTCCATTGGGTACAGATGTCGGTGAAAGGGTCACGCTCAAAAACAATTCTCTCTGTTCCTCATTTTTCTCCGAAGTACTCTCCTAGTTATCTCTGCATAGAATAGTTGGCTTTTGTTTCACGATGAATTTCATTATTTTTTCCTTAGCTTTCAATATTTTCTCATCGTTTCATGAGTACAGCTGAGCAGATGGGCCGGTGAGTAAGATCAGATTTATTTCAACTCTTTGGTGAGTTTTTACACAGAACAGCTAATTCTGTTTTTCTCTCCCGTCCCGCAGGGTTCTTCAGCGCACATCAATTTCAACTAACATCAAGGTGAGATGTAATGCTGAATATTATTTTGTTCAAATTTCTGTATCTATGTCAGTAACGTTTTGGCATTTAAGGTTGGCCTATTGGTTTAAATGTTTTTATTTGTGTGGTTGAGACCAACTTCTTCACACTGAAATAACTTTCTCAGTGAATCCAACTCACGTCTCTTCGAGAGCTGATACCGTAAAGCCGAGTTTCTATCATAGCTACTCTGACAGACCAATAGACTAGAAAATTACTAATCTCAGTTTTTTCCACTTTTTTCGTAGGAGCGACTCGACTTTTCCTGTGCTATGTTTGGACCAGATGGAGGCTTGGTTGCCAATGCCCCACACATCCCAGTTCATCTTGGTTCCATGCAGGAAACTGTGCAATATCAGGTTTAAAAATTGCTTTCTCTTCAATTTTATATATGGGCATCTTACTGCCTCCCTCTTAGAGATCCTTTCGTGGCTAATCCTAACGTGAAATTCTTTTTAGATTCGCACTTTGGGAGATGAGCTAAAGGAGGGTGACGTTTTACTTAGTAACCACCCGAGCGCGGGGGGAACACATCTTCCAGATCTAACCGTCATCACGCCGGTAAGTTCCATTCAGATAGAAAGAGACCTTTTACCTGGATATTTAATAAAATAAAAAAAAATAGGGAGAAAAGGGCAGACAAACATCTTAAAAGAAGGAATTCAGTGAAAAGGAATAAGTATGGCAAGGAGTAGAGAAGATAAACATGGATTCTAAATGAGTTTTTTGAATGAAAAGTTGCGCGCATGGAGATCATTTTCATATTCAACGTGTATCAAAACGAGAGCTGTTTTACCCTAGCGCAAAGCAAACAAGTTTAAGTCACTACGTTCAACGAATCATTGTCTAAACGAACTTTAGATAAACAAACGCAGACTCAGCCTTTTACTCGCTTTTTCCTTTTACTGTTCAGGTTTTTTATCCTGGCCAATCAAAGCCCGTTTTCTTTGTCGCGAGCCGTGGCCATCATGCGGATATCGGAGGCTCTGCACCAGGTCTGTACCCGTGCTTATCAGCTTCTCAGAATAATATTAATTGTTTGAGAACCATTCAACGTTCACAAACCTCTGCTCTGCACCAGGTCTCTACCCGTCCTTATCAGCTTCTCAGAATAATATTAATTGTTTGAGAACCATTCAACGTTCACAAACCTCT